TAAATATCTTTTCAATATAATATATTTTTAATTGTACCATACACAGACCAATAAGTTAGTGAGTAATGTCACAGAAACATGCACTCCAACTTTATCCACTGGAGTGCAGTCCCAATACCAACAGACAGCGTGTCACTTGGGCCACTCAATCATAATATTCACCTCCTCTAATAGCTATTGCTATCACTTACCTACATGTGCCAATCACAGTTTCCATGTTGTTATCATCATGTCTTGTCTTGAAAATCTAGGCTTCCTGGCTTTCAGTTTGATGTGTTTCATTCTGTAGGAATAAACAACATACATGTACGAGGTGGTAAATACAATCATTCCACATTTATAATTTAAGTCTGAGTGACTATAGATTACAGCTATAATAAAATTCATCATTCATTGTGCAGTCAATTGGCTGGTGTCCAATGGCAGGTACCCAGTCACAACCAACTTACTTGTGCTTTACAGGCTTTCTTCTTAATGTTTCCTACATTCAAGCAACACATACTTAAGACTATTAAAGTAATTGGCCTCGTTCTGCATGCTCATTTGAGTTGAAATTATCCATCCAAGTACACCCTGAATTGTGCTCTACTCCATCCAGTTACATGATTGATGAGTTATTGACTAAGCATATGGTCAAGATAGCTGGATATTGGCTAAGTTCTATTTTTACTTTTTTATTTATTTATTATTATTATTATTATTATTATTATTATTATTATTATTTATTTATTTATTTTATTTATTTTTTTTTTTTTCATGTTTATGAAGGTCCATAAACACAAAACTAGATCAATTTTCAGCCATCTTGACCGAACAAGCTTGACCAAGATTTTAAGAACAATTTTGTCTTCGGGGACACAATGCATATTACCCCCAAGTGGAAAGATAGTGCCACCTTTCCTGTGGAATAACCAATCACAGCACAGGATTTGGTTAATCTTGCCTGCTTGAGGAGCTGACCATATAATAACATTACAAATAAAAGTACAGTAGGACTAAAACTAAAACTGAACCTGCATTCAGGTCTTTGTTTAGAAGGATAATTCATTAGAAGGATAATATCAACAATTGATTTACAGGGACTTTCATTAGGGGCCAGGCAGCGGGAAAATTGACTGGTTGTGAGGATGACTTGCCCACCTGGTTTGACCTTCTAGAGGAAAGGTTTTCTTATAAAGACATTCAGTTCATAAAGTTTTGCACACCTGTGGAAATCAGCTGCCCTCCTGCTGAAAATGTTACTGGCAACCTTACAATTTAGCTTCCGAGTTCAAAAATATGCACATCTATTTAGGCAAGATTTCCGTGGAACCCCCTACATTAATTATGCATACAGCTCTTGCTTAACTAAACAATAGCCAATAGAGCTCCTTTGAGACTCATCCGCTTTCAATAACTGTAAAATTTGCCATTTTTTTCGCGCAGACTGTAGACTTGTTAACTGAATCAAGGTACCATTTGATTTTCCATCATTGAGAGCCAACCAACCGTGAGAGCATTACTTAGGCTCATCTGCAGGCGTGATCTGGAGTGCAGACTAATACCGCGATTAGCTATACGCTAAAAAATCTTGTTTACAGTCAGCACTCGATACTGGAAATAGCATGATGTATACTTTACAATCTGTAGTCTGCAGTCTGCATATCCCCGGTACCGCAAGTGAGGTGACAATGTTATTACCATGTGCTCAAGACAAATTCACCCTCCAAAAACGTCTGCTTCCACTAGCATTAACTTCTGCAAGTTACTTTTCACTTTGAAGGAATAAATCTTACTTATGATAATATAAGGACAAGTTACAGAAGAGCACATAAAAACAGAAAAACGCCAAAATGCCTCACCTTGCAAGAAGCAACATCGGCCCGCCATATTTTCGAAGACATCATGCTTCTGGACACGTGATCTTAGATTGTTCAGTATTACTCAACCGGATCTGACATCACGCCATTGCTCAGCTTCCGGTTCTTTAATAAATCAATGGAATATTTACGCGAAGATAGTCATAACTGCCAGTGAATGCAGTCTAAAATGGTTATGTCCAAAGACAGAAAACTCAAGAAATACTTTTAGTGAAGCATGGAACACCTCTGGTACCCAAAGACAGGCATAGTAGACTTCTTATGTCTCTTTCAGAATTAGGAGGATCGAATGGTCTTTGCGAGCATTTGCGAACATGCGAGCAGTGCGTTTATTTTTGCGAGCACGAGCGGTGATCAAATTTGTCTTGCTAGCCGAGTGAACACTTTAGAAAATACAGATGGCGAGCAGCGAGCACGTCGGAAACTCAACAAACCCAACCGGACAAATGACACACGCAACCGAAGGTATTGCCAAAACCTATATTTTCACTTGAATTACGTGGTTTATCAGGTCCACTGAAATCGTTTCAATTTCTAAGCTCAATTTAAATTTTTCTTTAGTTTGGGATTAATTTGACTGCAAAACTACAAACAATTTTCTACCTTTGCGGGTGCCTTTCGCGAAGAATTCTTATGCGTGCCAGTTTCAATGAAACGAGGAAACACACCTCCAGAAACATTTACATCGCTGCCTGCATCATTTCCCCAACGTTTTCCAGCTGTTTCCAAGATGCAAATTATATGCTTCCGCTACACTGCAGAGATTTTTAACGAGAATCTGAGCAGTTCCAAAAATTTTGTGAGGAAGAGCATCTAATTTTTGCGAGCAATTCGAGCAGAAGCCAAATTTAGCGAGCACTTTTACATCGAATGGGACCATTCGATACCCCTAGTTTTAATCCTAAAATGTGTTTCGAAGAAACTGCTTGATAGTGCCTGATAGTGTATGTTTCGGGATATCTTCCGAATGACTCAAAAGATTTACGCGATTAACTGTTTCCACACGTGCTGCAGCAGTGTTTTTGTTGTTTGCCTGTTTTTTTAAATGAAGAAATTGCAAAGTCGCAGTAATTCGACCAAACGGCAGCCTCGGGGCGGATAATAATCTGCAGAAAAGAATCCTTTTGATCTATCATTCCCTTGAGAGCCGCCGCGTATTTTCAACTGATTCGGGCGAAACAATTTTCCACAATATCGTCAGACGTCCAAACTGAAGTGCAGATCAAGGACACCTTCTCACTTGAGTATAGATGTTATGTTCGTTGTTTGAAGTTCTTTTATGGACCTTTCTCAGCACTAGAAACGTTCAACTTGTCAAGGTCATTTAGCCATACACGAATCATCATTGTATTCACTACATTGTACGTTTTGAAATTAAAATTAAAATTTGCACATCACTTAGGAAATTAGCAATTACGCGTTGAGTATATAAACAAACTACGTTGACATTTTATTTTTTACCTTGTTACGCTTGGGAAAGTTCAAGAATTTAAGCCTTACTTTTAAACTCGCTTAAGACACTTTTTCGATTCTCTGCTCACAAGGGCTCAAGGATATCATGAGAAGAAGCGAAATCATTTAAGTAGTACAATAGCGCAAATACAAATTCACTAAAGAGCTACTTAATGAATATGGTAGCGCAATTTTAAAGCCGGTGTCCGGGTTTTAAAGTTCCGGAATCGAATCAACTACATCAGAAAAGCTATGTTTTAAATACACCCAATGCAAAGCCCGGGTGTAAAGTAAAACTACATCACTTACAAAGTAACGTTCTTTTGCAATTCACAAACACTTCACAATTTTTATTTACAATAATTGTTTACAATTTTAGAATACATAATGCCAGAAGCAGTTGCGAGGACTTTTTTCCAACTAGAACAAATAGTAAGAATAACAAATATAATGTAATCACACATCAAGCCACTTAATGTTCACTAAACCTGACAAAAATTAATCTAAAATAAGGATTAATTTGTTAGGTATAGCGTGCTCTCAGACATTCAGTTTTATTCTCCCTAATCTTCGACGCGGGCAAAAAATTGCTGATGACAAGAAACTCTACAGCGCTGATTGGCTTGATAACTTCATATTTTCAATCATTAAAAAGCTGGTGTAGCTATCACAACTGCAAAGCCGTACACAGATTTATTTCTGAAACTAGCAGCCGCCAAATTGTCTTCATCTGGACACCACATTGCCTGGGCTGCCATCTGGATTCCGCTATCTCTGATGGCACCAATGTACACCAGGCAGGCTACCTTACGCTGGCCTTCACACGGTCGTTTTTGGCGACGGCCACCGCCAAGAAGCCGGGTTGTTATCTTACAAATGCTCCTGCTTGCCCGGTCACAACTTGTCGGCGAGTAATCATCCATGGTCACAAGATGCGACTTCAAGACCTGTTCCAACATTTCCTGCAAACGGATGTCACCGTCTTTGAAAAAATATCTCGTGCCATTGTCCCTCGGGTCTGGCTCACCAAATTGTTGACCGTTTGTCTTCATGTGGCTTGATACAGCAAGCTCATTCCTGGTGTGCTCAGAAGTGGTCAAATTTTCCAAGTTGAAGGCAAGGTCCTGAATCTGGTTTGAGAAATCATTTATCATTGTTTCATAGCCATTTCCCACACTACATTTATCTTCTTTGCTTGGCACACCAGACGGATCTGAACCTCGTCTTTCCTTCTGAGAAAGCTGTTCGTAAGCTTTATTAAAAGAAGGGTACAGCCTTTTAGGCAGACGAACTTTATTTCCTTTTGGTTCCTTGTTCTGAGTCACGTCATTATTGTTATGTTTGGAGCCGGTAGACGCAGTTACCTTGCCCAGAAGATGCAATGGAGACACGGCCTTTCGCTTGAGGTACGGCCGGAGTTTCTTCAAACTTGCTTGCCTTTCGAAGGTCTTGACGAGGCCTTTCGCGCTTGGAACAGTAGGGTCCGACAGCCGTCGTGTTCGTTTCGGAGACACTTCTTTTGGAGCCGCTGGTGCAGAACTGGATAAGCTTCGTATTAGAGCCATTCTGTGATTTCTTGCACTTGTTGGGGAACTTTCTGGTGAATCTGGCAATTCCGCATTGACCTCCGCAGATCTGTCGAGCTTGAACTTCTTAGCTCGAGCCTTCTTTGATTCCGCGAGCTTTTCAACGTTTTCGTCTCCTGAAAGCAAGCTCGTCTGCTTGTGATTGTTGCCGCTATGTGTACCAGAAACCTTTTCCAAATTAACCAGCTTCTGTCCTTCTGTAGCGACGCCGTCGTCTTGAATGCTTGGTTCAGGCCCAGATAAAAATGTAAGCAATGGGGTTACCCTCAGGAAGATATCTATCTCCGCTTCATCATCACGAATGGAACAGTTTGTCGCCTCTTCAACTTCTCTGTCGTATTCCATCGTCATTTCCTTCTTGGTTCTGTTTGCAAAGCGGCAAAATGTTGCGTAAACAAAAGCACTCGATTATAAAAGAAATACAATAGTGTGTCGAAATCACTTAATCTCAGTTTTGTGATCTTTGTTCGCTGCTTTTGTCACGCGTATGACAACTGCAGTGGCAATTTACAGCTCAACCACAAAATCCTAACTACATTTCTTTAATGAAAGATTCGCTCAGAAATCATTCATTCTAAATTAAGACAAAGAGGAATATTTCTGTTGTAAAGTGTGTTTTCAATTTTGTGACCGATAATAATAATGTATTCACATGGTGTGTGTAAATTAGTTGACTAGTTATCAGGATCAAGTTTGAACTCCAAACAGAACCAGTTTAAAAAGGAATAAATCAAAAAAAGGACGAATAATTTGATATCATAATTTAAAAAACTGCATTAAAAAAAAATTACTTTTCAGCATTGCTGAAATTAAAAAGTTTGGGGTTTTTTGGCTCTCAGAGAGCTATATTTCGGGTTCCGCATCATGAAAAAAAAAAATTAGCACATTATTTTCAAGTTCTCGTTCGAAGTTTTTCTCGATATTTTCCAAACTTAAGTCTCCATGCGTTATTGGCTCCTTAGTTTTTTCTACCGCAGTTCACCACAGTCTAGAGTGTCCTAGTTACGAAGTATTTTGCAGAACTGACACAAAAATAACTTAATAAATACCAACCAAAAGTAAGATGACATCATCTCGGAAAATTATTTCCCGTCTGTCAAGCACTGCTGAAATCGAAGACTTATTAATGAACAACATAACCAGATGAGTGAACGGTTTACATTTTCATTTCAATTTAACATTTGCTAATCGTAAATTATATTTTTATGTTGAAAACGGAGGTTTCACTCTGAAAAGACATCAAATGTTTTCCGTCCTCATTACGCGGGAGGAATTCAACTTGAAACCGCAACAACCCCGGTCACTATTAAGGTTAACATTAAAAAACAACGACGTTTCGACCGTTCGACGGTCATTTTCAAGTTGAAAAATAAAATTTTTGTATGCGCTTAAATATATAGATATCGATTATAAGAATGCTGATGGACACTGACTAAAACTCTAAAATATTTACATAGAAACAATGCAAGAAAATTGCGGCATGGATGATAATGAAAACGCTAAGGCGATAAAAACGATATAAAAAATGAAATAATTAAGTAAATACCTTCGCACGGATCGAGTCACTGTTTGCTCAGTTTTGGTTTAAATTTACGAATGAAAATCATTATAAAAATCAAACAGTCGAGTTTACTCTGACATTTTTTCATAATCTCGAAATTGCTTCCACTGGTCTCCGGATCCTTTCTGTGCTCATCCTTTAAGTGGTTGCCGGTCATTTTGGATTTGCGTTTGAGGAAAACTCGGGCAAGGAAATCAAATGATTTTCTTAACGTCTTCGTTTTTGAAAAGCTCTGTTTTCAAAATGTTTTCACCCACACTGGTCGGGCAAAGCCCGCGTTTTCAAATTCGTCCGGTTTTAACAGCGTTTTCGAAAAGCTCCGTTTTCGTGACGGATTAGTGTGGACGGTAGGCCTAACCGTAGCCGAAATAAAGCTGCGTTTCCAAATTTCTCTGGCGTAATGTAGACCGGGCCTAAGGGCTAGCAATACACGCAGTACAAGTTTAAATAAGGTAAGGATAATTTGAAACACCCTTTGTTAGGAAAATTTCCAAGTCAAAGGCGCTACTCAACGGCACCATAATGCATACGCATCTACATCAGTCTAAACTTAGTTAAGTCGGTAAAAATCGTGAGGTATCACACCAACTATAAAAATCTCAATAAAAATAAATACAAATGGATATTAATTATAAAAAGTAAAAACGCACCCATTCTTACATCGCCCTGAATAGCGATCTCAAACCGGCCCAGGTTTAACCGGGACACCTGTCTGCCGTCTATCCACAGCTTGGTAGTTCCATCTGAGTGATCGTAGGACGCAGCAACGTAATTCCACTTTTTGAGCCGAATTTTGTCGCTTTCAATAGCGTAAGGTAAATTAGAAGTCAGGTTTTCAAACTTAGCAACAAGCTTGTTCGGCCAGCAGAATTTTCAGGTCGTATCCAGGCCACAAACGTCATGGAATTTCTGGCGTCGAGGCCTCCGTTGTTTGGGAACTCGGCGTAACTCGATGATGCCCCGGAGAAGTAGAAGAATCCCGCGGGTTGCCCGAAGTCACCAGGCGCATACTTAACGCCTCTTATTTTTCCTGACGGGTTCTTTTGCTGACTTATGTCCCTAGCACCGTATTGTTCGTTAAGAGGATAAAGGGCAATGGGTTCTGGTAGACCAGCATGGAAAATATAAATCTTCTTAAGAACGTACACTGTTTTTTCAAACTTTTGACCACATCCCCAGAATGCCAGCCAACATCCTAAGATGGCAGTAATCTGTGCTCCGGGGGGGGGGG